AAGAAAATTTAGCAATTTGGATATATTCCAGAAACTTTGATCGGAGAAACATTTGCTGTGCTCGTCAAAAATAACACTATTAATAACATGGTGTTATAAATACGACCGCGAAAAACCACTGTGCTCAAAAATGCTGTAAAACGGTAGTAATGAAAGTTCAATGTTCAGTAAAGAAAATGGAACGAAAATATATTAAAATATGTTTTTTTCTTTAGAGCAACATAATATAAATTATTTAAAAAATATAAATAAATGGTGTATATAGAAAAAGCTGAGAGAAATTGGGCTTTAATCTAGTGTAATATATAAATTAATTTTATGATCGAGTGGCTGAGGGGATTAAACTGTTTACTTTCCGACAATAAGAACCGTGCCCGGTTCCCGCCATGGAAGATTCTTCAGGAATGTGGTTTCATGATGATAGCGCACGGGGAATCCCATTTTCGATTATTCAAGTATGAAAAAAACATCACGGGTCACAAGGGGTCGCCCGCCCTGGGTATGACAATGAACTACATCCAACATCAAGGCCTCAGGAGGTTTTGAGGAGCGTGAAATCACCTCTTAATTGCTGGTGTTCCCAGGTCCACCTTGACCCGGGATGGTAGAACCTGTTAGGGGTCCAAGCTAGGGACAAATAGTTAACCTCCAAAATGGAGTCAAAACACTATGAAAGTGTAAAAATAGATTTTAGTACCAGCAATACATTTTTATGAAAAATATTATTATCAGCAATGAATTTTTGAAGAAAATAATTATGACCAGCAATACATTTTTAGGAAAAAATTATTACCAGCAATAAAAATATTGTTAGGATTAAATAACCCATTGAGGTGTTAATGTGCCGTAAAGCAAAACGAACCAAAATCAAACCACAAGGTGTCGCGGTAAGCACTCGGTAACTTGTAGAATCATAGGTTGGGTTGATATGACCAAGTTGAAACGTAACGAGAATGATAGTCTGAAACCACTTAGTAACAATTAACAAGATTTTAATATTAACATAAAATGTTCGCTTCTTTCTATGAATCATAATATCTACTTCTTATGGCGGAGACTTCTTTGGAATAAACAAGCGTGAAATCTCACGATCCGACTTTTCTTGTATATAATACGACTTGTGTAATATGACTTATGTATAATACTACTCGATGTTTCTAAAGCTAAAACATCGGTCAGTTATATGCCATGCGTGAGACCCGCTTAGATGATCATGTATCTTTCAAGACATGAATGATGAAGCAGTTTTCTCCTGCAGTAGGTTGCTGTTTCTTTCTGCGCTAGACCCGTTGCCATTCAAGGCTATAGAACCCAATCTGTCCTGCTATTTACCCATAGCTGGGGAGAGAAGAAGATTCATACCTTACCAAAGGTATTAGCACGTAAGTGAATATAATGGATCCGACCGGAATTTGAACTCGGCTCTCCGTTTTCTCAAGCCGAGCCGCTAACCATTACTCCAATATAACTGACTATAACACGAATCTGTAGTACAGCCATACTTACGTAGATTTTAGAAATGTTTTACAATATAATCCATTAAAATCTCTATCTGGTACATATATTTCACTACAATATTTAATTTTTCCCGATATTAAAGAATAGAAACGACCAGATTTTAGCCACTGCGTGTTTTTTTTTCCTAATTTCCATCTTAAAACTTATTTTCGAATTTTTTTTTGCGGCCATGCTTAGAATATGGCTGCTACATATCGTCCTGTGACCTTGCTATTTTCCTTGACCTCCTTGATAAAATCCAAAGAAGTATTATAATATTATAGGTCCTGACCTGGCAACTCGGCTTCAGTTACATTCCCACAGCTGTAAGATTGCCTCTCTGTGTCTTTACTATAAATACTTTCATGGTAATTGCTTGATTAAGCTCATCGTTATATTACCTAGACTCTTTGAAATTAAACTCAGTACTAGACTAGCGGTGTGATCTCATCAATTTAAAATTGACCTGCTGTATGTAATCGTAAGTTTAATGCTAACATTTTAATTCTCGCACTTCTCGCTTGTGGAACTCCCTTTCAGTTCCATGCTTTCTAGCCAATTTTAATCTGCAAAAATTTTAAATGCTATGTCAATCGCTATTTACTTGTCCTCCTGATTAATCTTTCCTCTTCCCGATCATATTTAATGTTTCTGTTCCTAATTCCTCCACACACTGTAACCTCTTCAGGCTTAATGGCTTTACTGAAGTTAGATGCAGACAGGTGCAGTCAGCTTCTAACTGCAGGATCCAACTTGGTTGATTTCTAGCAGGATCCAACTTCTAATTCAATAACATGACGCAAAAATAGTCAGTTTCCTCTTACATTATTCCCAACCAATTTATCCTAACTACATAAAATCAGCTCACTACAAGAGAAGATGAAACCCTTTTTTCTCTTTTTATCACTATTACGTCACTGAAACCTCAAGATTTCAGAAATTTCGCTTCAGAAAATATTTCTCATTTATTTTACTTGCAGTTTTTGTCTGACCCAAGATCAGCAGCAGTTAGGATATTAGTCAAAACAACCCCTGCTTTGTTATTGCACATAGTTTTCTTAATGTTCATCCTTCGATATATCAATTTTCACATTCCTTCAACTATCTTCTTTTACCATATTTTCAGTGGAAATGACAAGATTTTTATTTGATTCCCAATCTTTACAATTCTAATATATCCAATCACATTATTTGTCATTTGTTGCTTTTATTGTTACAGTTAATTTTAGGCCGTTACATTCTACGGCCATTTTCATGTGTACTGTATATATGGAAAATAATAGCTATAATTTTAAGACAATGCCATCAACATTGTAAGAATTTGTTCTTTTCTTTATTGCCTCATGACATTCGCTTCTTGTTAGTACTTTCTTCTTTTAAGGCTAACCACAACATTCCCTCCTTTCTTTGTACCTCTTTGCAATGTTTGTCTTTTTACTAGCCTTTCTATTTCTTCTTCTATCAGCTTTGTAGTTTCCTCGTTATTTGTCTTTGCACCTTTGTCTTCAATATATCATGTGAGTGTCAATTTCTCCAAGCGCTCGTTCCTCATTGTGTGTGCAAGATATTTCATTTCGATATATGGCAGCAATTCGTGATCTGGTCTGACTCTTGTAATAATTGAGAATAGCAACGTAAGTTCAGCATTTTCTCGAGCTCTCCAATGAATAAACCATTCTTCTAGCAAATTTTGGGAATGTACGAACAGCCTCGTTCCATTTGAGGTCAGGTGAGTTTCAGACCTAATAAGCGTTTGGGGAAAGCAGCCTGTTTGTGGGTATGACCGCTCATCAGGATCGGTGTAGGAATGTAATCAACTTAGAATTTTAAGGCTTATTGAATTTAATGTATTTGCTTTTGTCAGCGTATAATTCTTTGGAACTTGTCATTTAAGAATCCGTCGTCTTGTAATTTATTCTGCTTTAGGTTCGCTTTAATTTCAGTAAAGATTGTTTGCATATGACTAGAAAATGGTTGCTCACATGGATTACACTAGGAAAGGCTTTACATAATAAAACTGCATTACTGAAATTTTTATTGATTGTTATATAGTAAACCTGGTCTTTTTCGCTTTCTTCTGGGCTCCTGTATGTCCATAAGCGTATCGGGCGCTCTTGAATCCAAGTGGTAATTATTTAGCCGTTTGGTGTGTACTATTTGATTCTCTTTTTCTCCAGCCTAATTACGAGTTTCTAGTCCAAACTTACCAACCAACTATTTCAACGCCTTGTAAGCCAGCATTTACATTTCACATGATTATGGTAATTTACTGTGATTTGCATCGTGTACTTGAACTGATATATTCGATATATCGAATACCAATCCATATTCAAGCGTGGAATATGTATGAAGACAATGATGTCTACGCTCTTTGGAATATAACGATTTGACGAGTTTTGGAGCAAAGGCTGATGACCTTGTGCCTTAATTGTAGAGAACTTCAAATGTCTTTCTTTACTCAGTCAATCAATCGGGAAACAAAAGAGGAAATGTATTCTTATTTCAAGAAGTCTACGTTGAATAACAGGCAAGTTTTCCTGATCACAAGTAGTCAGACCACATTCAACAAAGTGATTATATCGTCGCAACCCACAGCTTAATTGATTATTAAATAAATCTATTTATATTATGTCCTGTCAGCCATTCCTCAGTAACCAGAATGGGTGGTTGCTAGGCTTAAATATTATTAGCTTTAAATTGTTTTATATTTCTTATATAACATCCGAATATTTTGCGTTTATGTTAGTCGTACATATTTTTCGTTCTCGATTGAGCTCTGGTGAGAACAATCGAGAATTTTGGTTAAGCCGCTTTTCTTTTTTTTTTTTCCTTTGGTCACCTGCCTTTTTGCTATTCTTTCCTCCTGCTGTTTTCACATATCCTTTTTTATCGCTATTATTAAAACTCTGATCCCTGCTAAAATATTTCAATAAAGTATTTATCGATTTATTTTTATCTGACAGTTCCAGAAGCTTCGGGAGACAGCAACGTTCGTGGACATAGTTACTGTTATGTTATCAGGTCAGTCAATTCCTTATTTCACTTTTCTTCGCTGACACATTATTGGCGAATTTAAAGTTCAATTTTTTACTGATTAAAATTTTTCACTGATTAAAATTTGTATCAATTTGTATCAGCCTAAAGTTAAGAGAATTCATTTTCTTATTAACTGTGCACACTTTAAGCTATTTCAATATGAACTGTATAAATCACAGTGTTAATCGATACTTCTTATTCTGCTGTTTTTTTTTCTTAATTTTCCTTAAGGTTAGCTGATTTATAGCTGATTAGAGATTATTCTCACAATATTGATTTTCACTCGATCAAATCAAAAGCTTTCCCATCTTTTTAATCTTATCTTCCATCGATCTGAAGACGTATGGTCAGATCACATTAAAACAGCTGTTTCCGAACTATCATGGAAGTTAAGCAACGTCGAGCCTGGTCAGTACCTAGATGAATACCCGGTTCTATAAGCTTAAATGTGAAGTTTGGATAGTTTACGGTTACATCTGGTTAAAGCACCAGTTCCCGTGCGATCACCGAAGTTAAGCAACGTTGAGACTGTTCAGTACTTAGATGGGTGACACATTGAGAATATCAAGTGCTGTAAATTTCGAAAGTATAATGGCTCGGAATTCTTAATCGGAGTGTCGTGTCCCGATTCTAGTTGGATTTGTTTTGTTCACATATGCGCAAATAACATTGAGAAACGTATGAATCCACCTCTTCTCCTCCGGCTATGGGCTAATCAGTTAGATCCGTATTACTAAACTATTGTTATCTGAAATGAATTCTTAAAACCTAAATACATTTTCTTGCTTTAAATAACATGCAAAGAGCTCATAAACCGTACAAAACACTCTATCTGAAGCAACATTTTATTATTTACTAGCCGAGATATCCGACGTTGCCCAGGTATACATGGCTGCAATTGTATAACCGGACCCCCTGTATACCGTTGTTGATCTAATTTGGTAAAATTGCAATATGTGTGTACAATTTCATCGAAATCGGTCGAGAAATTTGGACGTGCATAAATATCATATACACACAGAGACAAACAGAGAGACACACACATAGTTACATAGACACACACAGACAGACATATAGACCTCTTCTATTTTATAGATTGCCTATTTTCTTTTTAACTAACATAGTATGTTTTGTGGCAAATATGAAATACATGAAAACTCATATTTACAATCGGAAATTTCTTAGACATATAATGCTTCGCAGTTTGAACACTTACAGGACATTGAAAGCAAGATAATTAAAAGGAAAATTTGAGTAAACTTTTTAAGGAGTTTTGTATTTTGCTTGTCGTCTTTGTCGTATTGTGACCTACCGGCATTTTCTCCAACCCCAACGCTACAAATGGAATGAACGACTGGAAGTTTTCTTCAGGATCCTATTTACTCGATTTATATAGGTGTGAGACCCAAGTAGGTATTGTTGCTTGGTATAAGTTAGAGGGAGGTAGAGAAGACGGATATCAACAAAACGATATCCTACCCATCAGCACATTTTTGGATTTTCTCACTCTCCTGAAGCCACAAGACGTCAAGGAATCTGGGAGCAGAAGGCAGTTTCCATTCTGTCTAGATGCAATGGTAATCAGTATGTTCGCGCGTGTTTCGGTTTTATAGATAAGCTTAAACAAAACGGTCTATAACTGCAGGATCCCACATCTACAGGTTTCAAACTACTCTCACTCAGATTGGGTTATCAATGTTTTTGACTAGTATTGCTTTAATACAAGTTTGTATGAGTGGGTAGAAGAACATAGTTAAGGCGGGATAACAAAGATTCCAAAGTTAGTATTAGGAACAAAAAAACCGGAAGTTGTAGAGAGCGATGATGGTGGACGTCCTGAAGTCTCATAGCAGAAGAAGAACATCAGTTGAAATAGCCAACTGTCAAATAATCACGTGGTGAAGATAAACACTCAGTTGTGGAGCAAGCTGAGTAAAGAATAATTCAACATTGAGACAGAGAGCTATTTATGGTGCAATGGAACATCTCATTATGCTAAAGTGGGATAGTCCATTGCTTGGGCTGTGATTGGCTGCTGGTACCTGAGTGGAAGTATTACTATATAAATACTAGCATGATTTCTCAGTTTGCAGGATATGTATTAAGTTACAACCTGCTTTATTTTTGTCTGCCAGCTGGACGCTAGTTGGAACTCTTACGCCGGTAAGTGCTTTTTATTATTGTTATTCTACATCTCCTTCCCCCCCATCGCGTGTGGGTAGTGGCCTTTGGGGAGGGATGAGTTCCTTTAAACCTGGCTGGTTGTGCGGAAGTAGTCTGGACAATGCCGAGGGTTTTTGTCCGTGTTATTGTAGACGGCTGAGCAGTGTTTGATGTTATTCCAGCGTCGACTGTTTGTTGCACTGGTGTGGGGTCTCAGGTATTGCACTAGGTCTTGGAACTGGAATTGTTGGTGTATCCAGTTTCCTGAGAAATCGGCGATTTCGTAAGGTAATTCTACCTGATCCGTCAACTCTGATACGGTATTGGTGGTTGGGGAGGGTTTCAATGACCTGACCTGTTGTGTCCCATCGACGGGTTGTTGGTCTTTGTAGTGCCACTATTTGTCCTTTTTGAAGGGGGTTTAAAGTGTGTGCTGTTCTGTTGTATCGCTCTGAGATGAGCGTTCCGCCGGGACAGACTTATCTCACGATTTTGTGCTGCGGTTATCCAATTCGCGTGTGGCTTATAGAGTGTTGGGTGGGATGGTATGTAGTCACGTAGTCGGCGGTGGAGTAGTAGTTGAGCAGGGGATAGCCCAATGTTTTGAATGGGCGTATTCCTGTATTGAGGATGGCTCTTGCTGCACGGTTATTATCCAATGATCCTTGGGCTCCTGTGTTGCCATTGACGATTCTCTTGGCTGTTTTGACAGCGAGCTCTGCTCGACCATTGGATTATGGGTAACCAGCAGATGATAACCTTTGTTTAACAGCCCAGTCTTGCAAAAATTGCTTGAATGGAAGAGATGTGAAGGTGGTCCACCATCACTGCTGAGTTCCTCAGGAGCGCCGTAGGTCTGAAATATGTCTCGGCAAATCGAAATAATCCTTGAGGCATTAGCTTCTCCGTGGCTCAAGTGGTATAGATTCAGCCAGCCCGTTAACCTGTCAGCGCATGCTAAGTAACCATGGTTTCCAACATGAAAGATGTCCATGACGATTTGCTGAAATGGCCAATCAGGAGATGGTGTCAAATTGATTGGCTCTTTTGGTTGACTCGGGGCAATTTTTGAGCAGAACGTACAACCTGCTCTAATGTTACGAATTGAAGCATTCATCCCAGGCCAATAAACAGATTCATTGGCACGTGCCTTCATGCCAACTTCGCCTTGATGTGCAGAATGTAGGCTATGTAATATTTTTGCGCGTTGTGAGGTGGGGATAACAATTCTTTGATCTAAGAGCACTAACCCGTCGTCAACACTTAGGCGGTGCCTCACTTCCCAATATTCTTGGATTTCAGGTGCAGTGAGGATGCGCGTTCTTGGGAATCCGTTTTGTATTATTTCAATTAATTTTTTTGTATTGCGGGTCGCTGCGTCCCGCCGTACGGATAACGTCTGGTGAGATGAGCTCCAGGTTGTCATTTGCACCGAATGTTGCTAATAAGGTTTTTGATTTGACCCAGTCATCCATGTTGTCAGACTCTATGATGTCTGATTGAGAGGGTTCAACAGTGAATACATTTAGAGTGCCTGTGAGATGTCTGCTGGGTTACGAGAGACAGCAGTTGCCATTTCCCAGGGCAGTGCTGAATGGTGAATCTGTACCTGAGGTTTTCTCCTTTAACCTGAATAATCGGGGGTTTTGGATTTTACTAAGGTCTCTATCTCCGAATAATCCTTTTTAGTGGTTCATGATCTGTAACCACTATGAGATTCGGGCAACCCATTACAAAAATCCGACATTTTCCAATGCCCACAATTGCTGCTGCTTCGCCTTCAATAGGTGCATATCTGCGTTCAGCATCAATGCAGAATCTGCTACCAGCAAATATCAGGCGCCAACCTTCAGGGCAGCAAACTGGGGCTTTGTCAGTGGTGCATGAGCAATACTTCTGCAGAAGTAGGAAGCCCATTCCGTCTTTGCTCCAATCTGGGGCAAGGCAGGTTATTCTTTCTTTTTGAAATGTTGCGATGCCTTTTCGGACTAAGTCAACTATGACCTTCTTTGACTGCTGGAATGCATCCTCCAGGCTTTTATTCCATGTAAAGTGTGAGTCTCGTTTTACGAGATCACGAAATGGAAGCTTTTTTATGACTGGGCTTAGTGAATATGCCCAAACAACTTGGTTGACCAGCCCAAACCATGATCTGGCATCGGTGAGTGTTTTTGGTATTGGGAAGCTCAATATTGCCTCCAGCATGGATTTGAAGGGTTACACCAGAAGATGTTATTTGGAGGCCCCCAAACTGCACCGTGTCTTGGCAAAATTGGGATTTTTCTCTATTTATTACGATGCCGTTTTTGCACAATGGAGGAGAAAATCGAAGGTGTGAAAAAGGCTCCTTCGATGTCAGAGTCATAGAGTAGGGTGTCATCCACGATTTTTACTTTGCGGGGATGTCTTTTATTACTTCATCATACCTTCGGGTGTAGGCATCACCAGATGCTAGGTAACCTTGTGGCATTCTCAGGTACATGAACCTTCCCCATTCTGTGATGAAGGTGGTGAGTGGCTGGGACTCTTTATCTAAGGGGATGGAATGATATCCATCAACAGCATCCAACACTGTTTTCTTTTTGTTTAGGTGGCACTTGTAGTGCTAGCTGGAATTGACCCTGTATGGTGTGTTTCCCGTTTGCACTGTGAATTCAGGTGTTGGTAGTCTATGGTTCTTCGTGGTTTGCCATTTTTTTTGCGGTAATTACCATAGTGCTACACCAATCAGCGGGCATGCCAACGGGTACTGGGGTTATAATACCCCTTTTCACATCTTCCCAAAGGGCCTGTTTTACGGGCTCTTTGAAGTGAAAAAGCACAGGAATTGGGTTATGTCTGGCTTTGGGACTGCTCCTTCTTTGAGGTGTATATGTGCAGTGGGGCCAGACATCGGTGTGGAATTCACCATTGTTCTTGAACGCCGTTTCGGCAAATTGGTTCAATAGCCAATTCTTGAGCCTATCAATGTTTTGTTCTGTTGGAAGAAAAGGGAGTTTTTGGGGCGTGTTGGAAGTTGTCCCTCGACTTTGAATTGTTTAGGGCTCACGTCCGATTTTTTTTATGTGCTTGTCGAGGGCATGTGTTGCATTGTTGTTTGGGGTAATATTGTAGTTGTTGGCTTCAGGAAGTCTTTGGACAGTATCCCTACATCAATGCAGGCTGCTTTGCTGAAGTATAGCCGCTGAATCTTTTTTGCATATGTATAGGGCTTGTTTAGTTGTTCTTCCTTGGACGATGAATTCCACGGGAGCCAACCCTGACATACAAGCGTAAAGCCTCCACAGCTCGGACGACTTTTCTTGATGGAATGAGGTTGTCGATAGTGAGCCCCATATTTCGAAGGTGCTTAAGTCCCCAGAGACATATGGTGGCCCCACTGTCAGGAAAAGATTGTCATCCTAGTGCTGTGA